TACTGGTGTTGACGTAGGGATTAGTAAGTAATGCAAAGTTGGGAAAATTTATTTCTAAGAAAAATTGACTCATACATTATTAGTAACTTTTAGTTGGATGGGTTTAAGCTTACATAGCAGGCTTCAATAAAAGTTCTTTCAACAAGCCTTTTTTTCTGATAACTGATAAAGGTATGAATGGATCCAAGACTTAAGGAATTGTTTTTCTTGGAACAATGATGTTAAAGCAGGATCTGTCTGTTTTGATACTTCAGATCCTGTGGTGAACACGTAGTGTTTTCATGTTGGTTTTGTTCATGCCAGGTTCACTCGGCAGTGTAAAAGGAAAACCTTGCTTTAGAATGGGGAAGCCACTGGAGGGTGTTACACAGACATCTGCAAGGGCCGGGTCCTACAATTGGGAGGTGAAGCAGTTTAGGTTAACAACGTAACTTGTGGTGGTTGCTGATTCAGGTTTACTTTGGTTCGGTGATTGAGGGCTTGGAAGTTTCCAGAGATTTTCTGGGAACGTTCTTCATTTCACTTCTGGGTTTTCTGGTGCAAGTCCTTCCATGCTGTTGTGGCATCCTGAGGGACTTTTTCAACCTGTCCCGGATCCAGCGGGTGTTTACGTACTTCATGGTACAGTGTGGGTTTGTGGTTGGGGTGTGACGCTGGTGATGTGTGTGTCTTAGTGGGGCGTGCTTTGGGTGATTTATGATCTTTTCACTGGGGAACAGAGTCCCTCCTTTTTGTTCAAATCTGCCTTTTCAGGGGGTCCGTGTTACGCAGGGCTTTCGGGGTCAGGACGGGCAGTTCGGTCTTGGGGGAGAGGCGTGGGTCTAAAGTGGGGATGGTTGAGGGGTTGGAGTGTCGGGTGGAGGGTGCGGGGAATGTTTGGTGGTGTGCGCAGGTAAGGTGGGACTGCGGCGGGGTGTTGAGGTTCGGTTTCTGGAGGTGGGTGGGCTTACGGGCCTTGGAGTGTGCGCTGACAGCAGGGGGGTTGACGTGGGTTGCTTCTTGGATGTCGTGGGCGTCTGGTGCCGCTGGAACTGCTTGAAGTCCTTTCCTGGGGCCCCTTTTGAGGGTGGAGATGAGGGGGAGATTGAGCACACTAGGCAAGGGTTGGGCCCAACCATGGGGTAAGCTCCTGATCATCCGTAATCACTACCAATTCCTCCTGGGGCCAAGTCTGTTGTCTTTTATTATTGACCCAAATCCTCTGTAAGTTCTCTTAATACGATGCGCTTCATATTTGAGTCATTTCAGGCACCCAATTTTTTACTTTGTATGGTCCGTGGTGTACAAAGTTTATATTTCTCTCTTTCAGGGAATTGATAGATATTCATGGTATGTTTTTTGTGGTTTTATCGCTTGAATGTTTTGTTTTTTATAAACACAGGGGGAGGCAGAATAGGGTTGCTTTTTGAACTCTATATTTCTCTTAGGGCTTCCCCCTAACTTGATTGATTTGGTTCGGTTGAGGAAAGGACCCCGTCGATTTTTTCAGTCGAATCTCTGGATTGATTGAATTTCTTTTCATTTTGATTCGGGCACTTTCATGACAGGATTCAGACAGCAGGTTGATTTTCTTTTGGCAGTGTGGTCAGTGGTGAACAGGTCTATTGAATTCGGTGGGTGGACTTTTATGTTCGCTTCTTTCTTTGGGGGATGTTTTCATGGCGGGGTTTACTTCGGCTGGTTGGCTTGTTCCTAAGGTATCTGATCTGGCCAATTAAAGGGTTCTGTGGGAACCAGCAGCAGGCCTTGCTTGTGAAGATTGGCGTGGTGTTTATGTCGGATGAACTAAACTCTTTAAACACCACTTACCTGTCGTGTAGGGTTAGTTTTCTTGACGGCCTTTAACCAGTGAGGTAGGATGGTCTGATTTGGTTTGTCACCCATTCAGCTGCTCTGGGGGAGGCGTTGGCATGGGATTCACACACCCCACACAACCACAACACACTCCACACACAGCACACAACACACAGTCATCAGGGAATAATGGGAGTTTTGGATAACTGTTGATTATATTCTTCTATAGTAAACAAATAAAAAACACATCAATCAACTGTGGTTCGGCTTTCATGGGCCGATTTATGTTATGCCTTGCCTTCTGCAGGCTGAAGACATGCCTCAAGGCAGCCATTTCGGTCCAGACCTTTGATGGAGAGAGGGTGACCTTGGGAGAGGACAAGACAAGTGTGAATTCCTACTGTTCACGTTTTCAAGTCCTTTCTGTCATGTGATTGATTTAAATCTATATGACCTTCTTTATCATAAATTGGTTTTTCATTGTAAACATCCTCACGGTGGACGGACATTTCTGTTCAAAGGTTCTGTACAAGGGGAAAACATTTTTTCGATGGGGCTCTTTTAGTTTTGTAAACTAAATAAGTACATAATGACTTAATATAATATGATCTAATCATAATATTTAAGCTGGAACTAAGGTTGTGCTGCGGGGGCGGTTCACTGGCCGGCGTTAAACACGTGGCGGGGACCATACATCAAAATGTCACGTACATCGGTCAAAATCGCCTGCGTGTTTACTTCCTTGTTTGCAGGTAGGTGGCGGTATCCACTATACCTGATATTGTTCATGTGTCGTTGTTCAGGGCGCGGGACTCTTTCACATGTGAGGGTTTTCATTGGGATGGGGCATGTACATGAAGTATTGAGGATGTGTTATGGCGGGGACTTTGGTTCACAAACTTTTTTCATCTGCAGGCTTTTGTTGTTGATTGTACTGGACCAATTTTGAAGTGACTCTGATAAATTCCTCGAAGGAGTTCGTTTCAATTACAAGCGCGAATAACCACGTATATTAGAAATTGGTGGAATTTGCCTGTTGGGTTGGTTTATGGGGTTCCAAGGAGGGATTTTTTTGGTGGTTCCATCATTGAGTAGACACTGCTTACAATTTTGTATATGTCGGTTTCATACGGTGTCTTGGGGGCGTTCTGGGGGGCGTTTTAGGACGATGTGCAACAGCACACTTTTAATCGTGAATGGGTCTTTGAGTGGGGCTGTGTTCCAATCTGGGAAGTCGATTTGTTAATTCCCTAGAAGGACGTTTTTTGTTAAATTTACAACGTGTGCTGTATGCGTATTGTGGTGTTTTCAGGGCTTCATATATGACACGGCCCACTTGGCCCACAGGCCTATAACTGGCCTCGCTCAAGCCGGAAGGAGGGGAGGGGCCATAGGGTTATGCCGTTTAACAGTATCAGATTGGGTCAGAAATTTCAACAATTGTTTTTTTAAAGTGGATTGTCTTGGTAAATGTGTGGAATCCATCCCATTGCTGAGTACCGGTTGGGATATTTTGGCAGGCTATGATGTTTGAACATGTGTCTTATTGATTTTGAGGCCTCCACTTGTTTTTGGAAGTGGGGTGGGAATGGCATGGAGTAGTTATGGATGGTTTATTGATGACAAGCTGTTATATAGGGGCTGAACTCTTTAAAAGGACACCACACAGATTGTATAATCCCTGATGTCAAGAAGTCACATTTTTTCAAGCATTTTTGGAAATGATTGATTCCTGTAGCTGTACCTGCTGTGTTCACCTGCATCATTATCCTGCTCAAAATGGGAACAGCTTTTTTCATTACCTGGTCTTCAGAATCTGTGGAGTACAGAGAGTAGGCTGGCTCAGGGCAGGTTGCTGGTCCTGGACTTAGAGTCACTCTATCAACACAAGTAGGGAGGAGCACAGCACAGAATGGTCAGAGGAGTGCCCACAATAACATACAGTGTATTAAAGTGTACAGTAATAAAGTTTTAAAAAAGGTGAATAAATGTTAGCGCACTCACCGTCTCTTGGCTGGCTGGACTTTGACTCTTCCTGCCAGCCTTCCTGATGTCACCACCTGCCAGTCAGCCAACACACCACAGTCACAAGCATGTTCAACACATAAGGCTGTAGTATTTCATTTATCTGGACATTGGAGAGATTCCCTCCAGACATGTATTAACACCATTTATTCTTAGCAGCCGTGACCAATTTTTTCTTGAGACAGATTTTAGAGGGACAATTTTGGCTACTAAGATACTCAGAAGGCTGTTTTCTTAAGTTCTTAACTTTATTAATTATTATTAACGTTATTTCATGAGGTACTAAGAATCACTGGTGTTGTTGCATGAAAAAACACTATTGTTTAGAATTACATTTTGTATTAGTCACCCTACCTCCTGGAATAACTGATTTAAAAATGTTCACATCCCCAAATGTCTTTAAGATCTAAAAAAGCTACTTGTCCAGTGTTTGCACTCTATATTATACTACTGCTGCTATGGATATAGTGTATGTTTTCTGTTTATACACTGCAACTGGGTCAAGTATTTTACTGACACTATAGTGATTGTATTCCATAGCAGGCTGTGGGGGGTGAGTCCCTGATACAAAAATGATTATTTGAGGGTAAGGACGTCTTCCTCCCTCTGTAAGCTGATCCAGTTATACAGTTTAGTCCTACCATCTGAGCTCACCTGTATAGCAGTGTCAAGCACTACAAATGAACTAATAAATATGTTTATAACATGCACGATGATATGTTAACCTTCATTTAATCTTGTTGAATCTGTGATGGAAGTCTGTCAACAGTACTTTGATAGACTTGGGGGGGGGATGAGAATCTATCCCAAATGCTTGCGGCTTCCCAGCAGAAGAATCCAGCAGTGGCTGTTGCATGCAGAGATCAAACATTTCATACATTTAAAAAGTGTGACAATTGCTATATGACTACATTTGACTTTGTATTGTTAACACGAAAATGAGGCACAACGGTCCTGTAATACCATAGGCTTTTGTTCTTGCTATATATCTGGTAATATCAATGTGAAATGTAACGTTAAAAATCACTTAGTTAACCCGATGTGACACTTCATCGAAGCCACGTCATGGAGTCAGTAAACCCACCGAGAACTCGTGCAAACAATATCCTGATGTCTTTGTAACTTTGTTACCCTGACAAACAGCTAACATTAGTTCAGTGTGTATTTTCAGTGTAGTCGGTCTTACCTTGCTTTTAGCTGTTCCTCTCATGGTTAACGACAACTTCAGTCAACTAACACCTTCTTTTTCTGTGCTTTCAAACGAAGTAGAGACTTGTTAGACTTAGCTGTTAACTTCATGTAAGGATTTGTTTATACAGGTTCCGGGTCGTAGCACAAGTTTGAAACGAATAAAAAAAATGTAGTTGACCAATCAGAATGACACGCCCCGCTCGAAGTGGGCGGAGCTACAGGACCAGGAAGAACTTTCTCCCTGAAAATGTTACCTATGGCAGAGAAAGGATTCCTGTTTGGATAATCACACAAAACTGTTATAGCCATGTGTTAGAAATATTTCAATTCGTTTTCTCCGTCAGTTTCATTTGTCGGACGTTACTACAGTGCGTACGTCCCTCCCTGGCCGTTACTATGGAGACACCAACATTCATAGAGGCTCGAAAACAGCAGATTACTTCTCAACCTGGAATCCGGGAACCCCCAGGGCTTCATTTCACCATGATTTCATTAACCACTGTTCTACTCATTACACAGCTTATTAAATACTTGAACCGTGTGGCCGGGAAAACCACGTTGCTTACATTGATAAATCATACCTTTAATTCGTCATGGACCAGTTGTGGAAGTACTCAGCTGATTCTCAGGCTCCTACATATAAAACCATAAGTATTTTCAGCAAAATGTAATTTTAGTATCAAAAGTAGAAGTTCTCAGGGGAGTAAAGTTGTTATTGTTTTATGATATCTGGTGTTTTTGGGTTGCATTAATGTGTAAGTTTCATTTTACTTTACACATTGATGGGTAGAATTTACAGCAATGCTGCCCTTTATGAACCACAGCAGCTTTTTTATGAGCACAGAAAAAACATTTTCATCTTCCACAATGTACTTTCCTGCTAATTAACTCAATCACCAAATTTGGAGATGTGTGGTTTTCACTGGTCACAATGAGTATGAAAAATTGGGATCCTAAAAGTAACTATGGCTATTGCGGTAAGAAGAATGTAGTGGAAAGTATAAAAGTACAATATTTACCTCTGAGATGTCAAAATAAAAACGTGCATAAAAGTGTACTTAGTTACATTCCACCACTGTCTGAATCTGTAGAGCAACTACATTTATCAGATATATGGATTCAAAAGAATATTTGCCCCTAAAATGTAGTAGAGTATAAAGTAAATAAAAAAATATTGACAAAAGTAGACTTTGCTTTGAACAAATTATTTATTGGTGATCTTTATCCTAGTAGAAAAGAAATAATAGGGATACAACAGTCTTAAGTTCTGACTTTTGGTGAGATTTTCCTTATGTTGAATGCTAGTGATGATTAAAAAATAAAAATAATAAAACAAACAGATCACATGTTTAACATCTCACTTTACATTTTCAACTTTGTCTGGCTTGAGACAAACCATTTTTTCTTCGAACAAAAACGCTGATAAAACTACAAGATGAACATCTGAAAAGAAAAACAACTCCGGTCAGTGCTGTGTGGGGGTGCTGCTCTAATATTCCATCTAATCCCATTCTTCTTCATCAAGTGCAGTCTGAGCAGCCGACTGGCTCTGCACGCTGTCGTCTTGGACAGATCCTCCCTGTGGGACCTGAGGACATAGTGAGGACCACAAGTGAAGAGAAAATTAGGACAGGCAGTTACACTGACATCACAAATACTCCATAGCAAAAAAAACAAACAAAAAACATTAAAGTCAATCCAGCTACCTTTCTGGAGTCTGAGGAGGCAAATGTCTTTCTGGGGGCGATGCCCATGCCACCAGGGCCGCTGAACGCAGAATCCTCCAACCATGAAGGCACTTCCTGCTGAGCCTGTCAATGCCAGTCAAAATATGGAAACAATCAAGCCCAACAATTACTGTGCTATAAGTCCTCCCTAATGATACACAATGTCTGCACTTTAAATGACTGAAGAATATGTTTTCTCATGGGGAATATTCCAGTTACTACTTATCAAAATAAAAGGCCCTGGGTGATTATTATAAAGTAGGTGCTATCCTGCAGGTTAAAGTTAAGACTGTTTTAAGACCATTATGAATGCAATTTAAGACCTATTTCACATATTTCATATCAGGGAAAAAAAGTACTAAGGAAATTACAGAAATTTGATTGGTTCCATGTCGGTTTTCGTTTTGTTCAAATTTTTCACAAAAACATTTAACATTGTTGGAATTTAGACGTTTTAAGACCCCACAGACTCCCTGTATCCAGATTTCTTTCTGGAGTAGACTGCTCTCTTACCTTGGACAGGATTGTGACTAGGGAGCGAGCCAATTGGCCATCAGAATCCGGGTCAAAGAAAGACACCGCCCTTCCAGTGTTACCACAGCGGCCAGTTCTCCCAATACGGTGGACATATTCGTCAATGTTGTTGGGGAGGTCAAAGTTCACCACGTGCTGTACATCTGGAATGTCCAGACCGCGGGCAGCCACAGAGGTTGCCACCAGGACTGGACATTTGCCAGAGCGGAAGTCTGCCAGAGCCTGCTCTCGCTCCCGCTGCTCTCGGTCACTGCCAGACAACAACACATTACTGTCAGCACTAAAGTGAAAACACAGATTTCTGGACACACTACTTACCCATGAATGCTGGTGGTAGGAACCTTTTCCTGGCACAAGTAAGTGGCAATGAAATCAGCTTGTCTCTTGGTCTCCACAAACACCATAGTGCGCTCCATTCCTGCAAGTTACATTTTGAGCTGTAATGCATTCAGTCCTACAAGAGTTGCAGAAAGCTGTTTTAAAACTACATAAAGTGATGTAGTAATGCCAAAGTTACTTGGTGATGTTAATTACAGGCATGTTACTCTATACAGGATTTCTGCAGGTTTCAACAGGTTACATTTATGACTTTTTAAAGATCTTTTAGAGACCAGTATAAGTTACCTTTTTCACAGCCATACTGGCAAAAAACCAATATGAAGGAAAAAGTGTTGGTTCTGTGTTGGGGTTTTTTTGTATTCCATTTTTTCCTCAGTTTTTCTCCCAAATAAACATTTAAAAGCAAAACTGAAAATGCAGCTATAGACAAGTATTGATAACTTTATACAATCAATTATTGAAAGATTCTAAATCATATTTAAAGACATTTTAAGGACAAATTACTGTATTTTTAGACTTAATTTTCCCTACATAAATCAATTCCTTCAACTCCTGGATGATTAAGGGAAAGAAATATAGTGAAAGGAACACTATATTTCTTTGCCCTAATCATCCACGCCACACCCCACAGTTTGAGAACCAGTGCTTTAGAGTGAGGTCTGCTGTGCTTGCAAACAGTACTGTACAGCCTTTTCATCCTTAAGTGTCTATTCTTAGCTGTTAGGATTAAAGTACAGTTATTCTGACAGTCATTTAAAAAGTAAAATTATTGTCTTTGCTTAAATTTAGGTTTTTCTGAAGCAAGAGGATCTAAATATCTGCAAAAACACTTCACCAGTTGTCTTGAGGAGGTCAAGGAGTTGCTCCCTTTTGGAGAACTTGGTGACCTGGACAAACGTCTGCTCCACATCACTGCAGGCTCCGCCCACCACACCCACAGCCAAGAACAAATAGTCGGTCTTGAGAAAGTCTGCTGCCATCCTGTAAAAACATGCTTCCATATTGATACATGTCAAGTTCAATGATAGGACAGCTGTCCCTATCAACTGTAAAAGCTGTAGTTGATGAAGGAGCAGACCTCTGAATGTCCTCAGGGTAGGTGGCACTGAACATCAGCGTCTGCCGGTCCTCTTTTGATGGCATTCCGGGGGAGCCCACCAAGCGACGCATGTCAGGCTCAAAACCCATATCCAACATCCGGTCAGCCTCATCCAGCACAAAGTACCGCACCTTACTCAACCCAACCTAGAGCACACAGTTTAGTTGCATATTCAAGCCTTCAACTAAAGCTAAACTAAAACTGATGTAAACATCTCTGAATTGACTACCTTTCCTCTTCCAATCACATCCAACAGTCTCCCTGGTGTTCCACACAGCACATTGCATCCCCTTGAGATTTCTCTTATTTGATGTCCAGTGCTGACTCCACCATAGACTACTACTGGACGCACACATGTCCTACAACAGTCAGATCAAATTAAGATTAAAAGGTAGCAGAATGTTCAACTTCATCATGACATCTTTAACATCTTGCTGAGCCATTAAGGGGTTATTGAGCCGTTGACTAAACCAGCCAAACCATACCCAAAGGCGAACTTCCTGGCCTCTAGGTAAATCTGGTTGATGAGCTCCCTGGTAGGAGCCACGATAATGGCTTCAGGCTCCTGCAGCTCACTGAAGGAACTGGCTGCCACACCGTCTGCCATCAGCTGCTGCAGAATAGGGAGCAGGAAAGCAGCCTGGAGGCAGGAAGATACATTTAAATTCTGTCCACAAGCAAACTTACAGGTTGATTCAGTCATCTCACCGTTTTACCAGATCCAGTCTGGGCACAGGCCATGAGATCTCTACCAGCAGAGATGATTGGAATGCCATGCTTCTGCACAGGGGTTGGCTTCACATAACCAGACTTGCTGACGGTTTTTCTCAGCGACTCACACAATCCTGCCTCATCAAAAGTCTGAAGGGAGAAAAAAAGAAGCTAAATACCATCTATCACTTATACAACAGCTTCAACATAAAACAGCTTCATGTCAGAATCCACTTGTATTCGGTTGTCGGTGGTTAGAATGTTTTTGAGCATTGCGATTTTACACCCTTGTAAACATGCTGCCTTTTATTTCAGTTGTCAAGTTTAAAGCTGATTTATAGTTGTACATCAACTCTACACCTTTATGAGCATTTACACTTGTGTTTTTATGTGTCTATTAGTCTGTATTAGTCGTATGTCACAAGCAAGACTGAAAAATACAACTTTTTACAAGTAACGTTAACTTCAGTAATCCTATCAATTTTAAGACCTGTCACCATCATATTTAAAAACATTATAAGACATTTTAATTTACCTAAAAAATAAATTATTGGATTTTAGATTTTTTAAGACCCCGTTTCGTCAACAAATATAAACTCTGGCAAGATTCTATCAAATCAATCTATAAAATGTAAAATGCCCCTCCATCATCACTTACTAAAGCATCTTTCATTTATTATTTTTACTAGCCAGCTACTACAAAGAGACACAGCAAA